TTCTGTCTGCCCAGGCCCAATAATTCCTCTCAGATGTGCCATCAACACCTTTGGTCATGTAAATGGCACTATCCTAGGACCTAGGTGAAGTCCTTGTTTGGAAAGAAAGCTTAGCTTGTATTTTTCCACTGGCCTGAAATCTTCCCTTCAGTACTACAAATAATCAAAACTATACCATTTATTAATTTCTAGGGTTTAGTGGGGTCCCACCCCTAAAATCTATAACAGTACTTTATATCAAACACCTTTACAGCCACTATGTAAAAGATGTCAGTATTTTGTCTTCCACATTGCTGATGGAGGGATGAGAGAATAGCAGCTTATCTAAAGCTACTAAACACATGGTTAAGAGAAGATTTGAACCCACGACTTCCTGGTTTTGCCACTTTAATACAGCAGCTCTACAGTGATCCTCACCTTAAAATAGCTTTTGCAATCCTTCTTTTTCCACAGCTGCCCTCCCAATGCCCTGATAAAGTTCTCTAAGTATATTTTCATAATTCGTAACTGCTAGTTAATTTTGTTATGTGATCAGTGATGCCTCTTAATGGTGTTTTCAAGAGCAATTAATAGTATTCACTCAAGATGAAGGATGGAGGATAAATTCTATTCAGTTATCATTTAAAGCTGACTCTATCAACTTTGCACTTTATGAAACAACATGGGAACTAAAACACAGCTATCTTTTAAAATTTGTGCTTTGCCAATTTTTACAAGGCAATTCTCCAACCAAACATTTTTTTACAAAAATGTGTGTGTTAGGGCAAAGTGTGCATAAGAATGAATATATTAGTGAACACAATGTAACAAACTGAATCATACTGAGAGAAATTGCTTGCAAAAATGTGTGTATTAGTCAAAACTGCATAAGAAAAATGTGTATTGGAAGAAATTTAATGCTGAAGAGATTCCCCCCCCCCCCAGACTTTTTTTAAAAGAGCAAATTGCTGCAGCAACTGCAGAGAACCAAATTTAAGATGGGAAAAAGAAGAAACCGAGAGAACCAAAACAGACAGACCGTTCCATCCCTTCTCCAAAACAAATAACCCCATTTCTTTTCCGCCTTTCGTTTCTAGTTTCTGTGATTTAAATATCAGCGCAGTGACCTCAACATTTTCCCTCTTGTTCTTGAATCCTCCTCTTCTCTTGCTCCTTTGTAATCCTCTCCCCGTGGCATTCACCAGCTGCTCTTGTAATATTTAAAACTCTTTTGTGTTTTGTGTACTTTCCGTTGTCTTTAACAACCTATTGCTGTTCACATAAATAGGGTCTCGTTTATCCCCAAGGTGGTGTGTGTGTGTGTGCTCTTGAAATTCTTCGTCAAATTTGATTACTTGCTGGATCGCCCATTAGCAAGTCACTTTATATGTGCCTATGTATTTCATCAACGAGGCAGAGGTGCTGCCTCTCCACATCTGGATCAGGTGCTGCGATACCTGCAGGCTGTTTCACAGCAATAGGTGTGCCAACTCTAGGGCGCCAAAGGTACCTTGGCCCCCTCCATATTTGTTTTAAGCAGGCGGGGCCGCCCCCTCAATCTTGAGGTGGCCCTGCGTGCATCACACGTGCATGACACATGTATGTGCATGATGCTCAATGCATGTCGCAAGTCCAGTAGCCAGCTCATTTGGAGCGCTCGGCCTCCTCTGTCGCGTGTGCATTGTCACATGCACACAGTGCATGACATGCACCAGGGTCCCCCATCTTGGGGGCCACCTGACACCTCTGCACAGCAATAAACCAGAGTGTCAGGCTTCCAGGAATTCGATCCCCCTCCTTCATGGCAGGCTGCCAGTAATGGAAAGACAAGGTTATTTTATTCAATATTCAGAGAGAGACGTAGAAAAGCCGTCTCTCAATGGTTTTGTTAAGTTGTGGGTGAACATATCAGACGACATAGCGATTCTTCAAACAGCTCTTGTTTATTCACAGGCCAGAACAGAACTGAACTGAAGGGTTCAGCCAGCCTGCTTATATAGAGCTCCACTAGAACGCAACAGTAACCATTTCCTGTAACTATCCAGTCACTGAACGTCACTTTCAATCCCTTATTTGCATATGTGGACCTGAGTGAAAACTATCTACAGTATCCCCCTGCTGGCCCAGGGTGAGAACTTCAGTGCATAACAGTGTTGCTCTGAGTAAAGTCCAACCTCCTCTGTCTCTCCTATTTTACGTCATCCCTATGTTGGCTGATCTGTGCTTTCTGCCTCTGAGCTTTCTGTTCTCCTACTTTCAATGCCCACTGAGTTTGGGGTCAGGGGGAGTGTCTGGAATGCTTTCTAAAGACACTGCGTCTGTCAGCTGTCTCTCCCCTGGCGCTTCCTCTTCTTCCTGCTGCTCTTCCAATATTTCCCAGCTTCTCCCCTCTACAGCCTCTGAACTGTGACCTGGTCTGCAAACCACTGTTGTAAATCTATACTGTCTCCTTCTTCTCTGAGAAGGGGGGGGGGCAGTCTCCACTATTCCTCCTCAGTCCAGTCCCTGACACAGAGCTAATTAAGAACCTAAGAAACTGCCTTATACCAGATCTGAGCATTGGTCTGACTCTAGTTCAGTGTTGTCTACACTGAGTGGCATTGGTTTTTCTGGTTTTCAGGCAGGAATCATTCCCAGCTGTACCTGGAGACAACTTTGGACCTTTGCATGATAAGCTATCTCACCTTTCACCCTTGGAGCTATGGATGGCATACATTGAAATGGGGAAACTGTGGCCCTTCAGGTGTGGTTGGCCATCATGACCAGCGGCCAGGGATGATGGGATTTGTAGTCCAAAAGCATCTGGAAGGCCACAAGTTTCCCTTTCCTTGGTGTACAGGATTCTTCCCCCACCATTTAATCCACACAACAATCCCGGGGGGTAATATAGACTGAGAGATATCAGTGACTGGCCCAAGGTCACCCAGTGAGCTTCATGGCCAAGTGGATCTAGATTTGAATCTGAACCTCAGTGCTAAAATTTAGGCTGGAAGCTCCTTGGACCTGGATCTGTTCCCTTTTGCTTAAGGTGCTCTAGAAAGCATCATATCCATCAGGAGCTGAGAGTTGTAGTCCAAAACAATCAGATGACACCAGGCTGGGGAAAGCTGATGTACCATGAAGGCTTAGCGAAATTATTAATGGGTAGTAAAAGCAAGTCTATTTAACAAAGCCACAATAATTACTATTTATGTAGCACTGTCCAGATAAGCTCACATTTATGGATATGTGTAAAACTCTCTTCTAAAGAGTTTTTATAGGTAATGGTTTTTTAAGGGGGCCCTTAGCAGACCCTCCAAGTGTCCCTGAGATTAGTGACCCCTGGGGAATTCCACCAGCCATGGACCAGTGGCTCGCTGATCAAAGGTAGCCTCACTTTTACCTGCCTTTGGGCAACTAGATACAGGGTTGGAATGTAAGTTAAGGGCTGTTGCAGTGGCAAGAGACAAAGCTTCTGATCTAAAATAGCATCAGGTGTCTCGCGACAATGGCAGTGATCAAAACATCCCCCATGATGTGAAAAAGAACTCACATACAATGAGAAAAAGGTGATTGTGATAACCCCAACATTTCCCTTGTTGTTAAGGTACCAAAATTAACAATTCAAATGGAGATGAGGCATGCAGATAGAAAGGTGCAGAGAAAGTGAAAGAGAAAAAGAAATGTGTTTCATCAGTTTATAAATGATGCAGTATTGTTGTGCATGAGTGACAGTCCCACCAAGTGGGTTACCCAATGGGAAAGAGCAGGTGAGGGGATGGGGGGGGGGGAAATCATTCTATAGCAGGATACACTGAATGATTTGTCAAACAGGTAGGAAGGGAACCAATGGAGAGGGATGTGAAAGAAAGGGGGGGAAGCCGTCATACTGGAAAAAAAGATCTCTCTCTCTCTCTCTCTCTCTCTCTCTCTCACACACACACACACACACACACACACACAATGTGAAATTAGATTCAAGCAAGCACTTAACAAGGCTAGAAAAGCCTGCCTTGGTAAAATGGCCAGAAATAAACCAAATCATGGATGTTGTTGTTGTTTAGTCGTTTAGTCGTGTCCGACTCTTCGTGACCCCATGGACCAGAGCACACCAGGCACTCCTGTCTTCCACTGCCTCCCGCAGTTTGGTCAAACTAATGCTGGTAGCTTCGAGAACACTATCCAACCATCTCCTCTGTCGTCCCCTTCTCCTTGTGCCCTCCATCTTTCCCAACATTAGGGTCTTTTCCAGGGAGTCTTCTCTTCTCATGAGGTGGCCAAAGTATTGGAGCCTCAGCTTCAGGATCTGTCCTTCCAGTGAGCACTCAGGGCTGATTTCCTTCAGAATGGATAGGTTTGATCTTCTTGCAGTCCATGGGACTCTCAAGAGTCTCCTCCAGCACCATAATTCAAAAGCATCAATTCTTCGGCGATCAGCCTTCTTTATGGTCCAGCTATAAAGCTAAAGGGACCCCTGACCATTAGGTCCAGTCGTGACCAACTCTGGGGTTGTGGCGCTCATGTCGCTTTATTGGCTGAGGGGACCGACGTACAGCTTCCGAGTCGTGTGGCCAGCATGACTAACCAGAGCAGCACATGGAAACGCCCTTTACCTTCCCGCCGGAGCGCTACCTATTTATCTACTTGCACTTTGACATGCTTTCGAACTGCTAGGTTGGCAGGAGCAGGGACCGAGCAATGGGAGCTCACCCCGTCGCGGGAATTTGAACCGCCAACCTTCTGATTGGCAAATCCTAGGCTCTGTGGTTTAACCCACAGCGCCACCCGCGTCCCATCTCCCCTAGCCAAAGACCACCCTAAAACATCATACATAAGGAGGTGGTCTACAACAAAAAAAGGGTGAAGGATTGGTTTTCTGTGGAGTGTGTGTCTGCTATGTGTGTGCACACTAAAATGTTATAACAGCTTCATGGCAACAGCATTGAAGGACAAGGGCAGAGGATGGAATTGGTTGGCTTCACCTCTCATTTGCTGAATCATTGATTCTGGCTCCTCCAACCATCAAGCTCCCTGACTTCCACCCCATCGATTCCAGTAGGCAGCAGCCACCAATGAATTTGGGAGATCCCACCCCTGATCTCCTACAGTATGATGATGGAGAAGAAAAAACAACCATGAGCAGGCTTGTGATGGCACTAGAGGTAACATTGCAATGTCATTATTATTAATGTGTCGAAAAGCTAATCAGTATTTATGATGTACACCACATTTTATTAGTGCTTGTCCTTTCTCATTACTACAAATGATGACCCAAATATTGAAACAGTGTATTGCCAGACATAAAACCAATTTATTTTAAGAGCAGCATGTGCTTACCCCATAAAGCCATAAGATTTCTTAGCATTCAGGAACACTATATCGTACGGAGTTGAACTTCTCTCTTATCTCAACATTATTATCACTCCATAAAATTATATTGAATAGCGACTGGGGATTTACTACAGGGTGAGGCATACACCTCTTTCCTAAAATTTATGCCACTGTTTGGAAAATATTTATGGATTTGTCCCAGGAAGAAAACAACACTATGCTATGTTTGCTTGCCACTGGCTGCTCTACCAAAGTCTAGATTGGAAAGGTTTCTCCAGCTTAATGTCCATGGAGGTCTAGTACTGATGCAGAGATGGAACCTAAGAGGGCAGGCGATACAACAGGAGACTGACCAGGCAATGGACCATCATTTATCTCAAGCTTCCCCAATCCAGGTGACTCATACTGTGAACGTATCACAGGAGCTGATCTTGAAAACCTCTTTTCCTTTTATAACCAAGGAAGGTCCTAAATCTGTGCTCACATAGTCCTGGGTTTCTCATTAGCCTTTGTTCCAGGTCATGAGGCTTCTGTTAGGAATCTGTTGGAGGTCACAATGCTGTTGGAGGTCACAAAGGTGATGTCCACTGTTTCCAGTAGCTCTTCTCATTGTGAGACTTCGGTGGATAAGATGAGAGTTTTTTTGGAAAACGAACACACACACACACACACACCCCTTTGTATTAATGTAACATTTTAATATGTAACTGTGTATTCTTGTAATTGGGACATGGGTGGCGCTGTGGTCTAAACCACTGAGCCTAGGACTTGCCGATCGGAAGGTCGGCGGTTCGAATCCCCGCAACAGGGTGAGCTCCCGTTGCTCAGTCCCAGCTCCTGCCAACCTGGCAGTTCGAAAGCATGCCAGTGCAAGTAGATAAATAGGTACCACTCCGGTGGGAAGGTAAACGGCGTTTCCGTGCGCTGCTCTGGTTCACCAGAAGCAGCTTAGTCGTACTGGCCACATGACCCAGAAAAACTGTCTGTGGACAAACGCCGGCTCCCTTGGCCAGTAAAGCGAGATGAGCGCCGCAACCCCAGAATCGTTCGTGACTGGACTTAACTGTCAGGGGTCCTTTACCTTTACCTTTTTATTCTTGTAATATCTTGTTGACATTGTCTCTTGTTGCTTTAGTTTTTTTGTGCACCACGCACCACACAGAGGTATTTATAAAATATTAAGTAGTATAGAAATTAAATAACCAACCAACCAACCAACCACATTTGTCCCAACTCATCAGGTGAGGATTTACATCAAGACTTTATATCCTGCATTCTTAAGGGTTGCTTAAATAAATCTCTTGCAATCCCTGGGATTTTGTTCAACAAAAGCCTCCATCAAACTTTATTTTGTTTATTTATAAGATGTATTGCCAGCATTCGAAACTCCCATTGTTCTAGGCGTGCTTTGCGACGGGGAAGTTCATTAGCACAAGCAGTTTCTGAGCTCTGGGTGCCGTACTGCGCCTAACATTTCAGATTAAAACTGCAGAGTGGAAGGAAAGGAGGACCTTTTTCTGCTTCCCCATTTCCAGCTACTCTCTGAAGACTGGAGAAGAGACCCTCTTAAGAATATTAGGGGGGTGGGCAGGGGAAGTATGGCTTTGTTTTTTGCAGTCTTCAGATGATGACTAGACCATGTGAAAAACGAATATAAGATTTTAGCTGCCGTTCATTCATTTGCAGCTTTGTATTCTTGTTATAAAAAAGCGTGCCTAGACATTCCATTGTTGTGCCCTTAAACTAGGTTTAAGGTGCCATTTAGCTCCTGGCTTTCATATCTCAGTTTCTAACACTGTGTATTACCCTCCGTTCCCCATGAGGTCCCACAATGGGTTAGAAAAAATAGAAAACACAGTCTTGAAACAGATAAAAATTGCTACCATTTCAAAACACATAAAACCGTTTCCAAAATGGAACAGAGCAATTTGTACAGGGGTCTGACATGGAATTTAAGGTTAAAGGGGTAAAGGGGACTCCTGACCATTAGGTCCAGTTGTGGCCGACTCTGGGGTTGCGGCGCTCATCTCGCTTTATTGGCCGAGGGAGCCGGCATACAGCTTCCGGGTCATGTGGCCAGCATGACTAAGCCGCTTCAGGCGAACCAGAGCAGCACACGGAAACACCGTTTACCTTCCCGCTGGAGTGGTACCTATTTATCTACTTGCACTTTGACGTGCTTTTGAACTGCTAGGTTGGCAGGAGCAGGGACCGAGCAACGGGAGCTCACCTCGTTGCGGGGATTCGAACCGCAGACCTTCTGATCAGCAAGTCCTAGGCTCTGTGGTTTAACCCACAGCGCCACCCGCATTGTGGGTTAAAGTGGGTTAAAGTGGAATTTACAAAACATCAATAAATTAAGCTTACTCAACTTCCCCATATTTTATTAATAAAATGTATCAATCCTCTTTCCACATAGAAGGCACCCAAAGCAGTTCCTAGTTTTGCTACACGGAGCTTGGCTGCCTCAATCAAAATATTTTGTAAATAGCAAAGGTATCATCCATTCAATGGTGGGGGCGAGGAGGAGAGACAAAAACAAAAAACCAAGGCACCCACTGAGGCATCATTCCAGTGGTGACACTTGTCTCCTTGCTTGACTGCTCTTGAAATTTCATGGAAGAGTAGATGCTCCCCCCCCCTTTCCTGTGGCACATGGAGTCAGTTTGGTGAGAGCAGTCACAGAGAGTGAATTCTGTCATTCAGACAATGAGAGACTGGCAGCACGCTGGCGATGGAGGCAATGTTCTTTTGCTTTTCATGTGCTTTGACACCAGTTAAATGTCTGTGGATGATGTTTAAGGCAAAAACTGTACTCGCAGCTTGAGAATGTGCCCTGAAAGTAATGTCGCATGGTCTGTATCTATATGCACGCAAACAACGTCGTTTCAGAGTTCAGTGGGGAGGCAGGGGGAGGTGATAGGGAGGTCAGGATTCATAGAATTGTAGAGTTGGAAGGGATCCTGAGGATCATCTAGTCCTCCAACATTTCTCCAATGAAAATAGGGACGTCCTGTTTAATAATAATAATAATAATAATAATAATAATAATAATAATTTTATTATGTATACCTAGTCCATCTGGGTTGCCCCAGCCACTCTGGGTGGCTTTCAACATATATAAAAACATAATAAAACATTAAAAAACATTTCCCTATACACGGCTGTCTTCTAAAGGTTGCATACTTATCTCCTCAGCTTGGGGCACATAACTCCATGTCCTAAGGAAAAGCTGGACATTCTGGGATCAAATCAGAAACCGGGAGGGTTGTCCCTGGAAAATAGGGACACTTGGAGGTTGTTATGTATTGAAGTTCTCACCCTGGGCCAGCAGGGGGATACTGTAGATAGTTTTCACTCAGGTCCACATATGCAAATAAGGGATTGAAAGTGACGTTCAGTGATTGGGTAGTTACAGGAAATGGTTACTGTTGCGTTCTAGTGGAGCTCTATATAAGCAGGCTGGCTGAACCCTTCAGTTCAGTTCTGTTCTGGCCTGTGAATAAACAAGAGCTGTTTGAAGAATCGCTGTGTCGTCTGATATTTTCACCCACAACTTAACAGAGGTTCTGGATTTTAGCTTCCATTTTGGGGTCTTCATGAGAAGTGTACCAAAATGCAGAGCAGACTGCTTTTCGCCTGGCATTAAATTGTGTCTTTCCTTTTAGCGCCCCTCCCCCCCCCACTTCAGTGTTCACTGGGCTGTACCCTTTCATGAGACCCTCTTGCTGGACCTCTCATCAGTGTTTGATACCACCAGCCATGGTATACTTCAGGTCCAAGTCTGTGGGTTGGGGCACTGTTTTGCAGTGGTCCCACTGCTATCTGCCGGAATTGATTTTAAAGAGTTGCCTTGCTCCCCAGGCAGCTGTGCTTTGCAGTGCTGCAAGACAACAGTTTTGTCCCTGTTGCTACTTAACATCTATATGAAGCTGTTGGCCATTAGGAAATTTGAAGAGCAGCAGCATCAGTACACTGGTAATGCCCAACTCCTTTTCTCGGTATCTTCTGAATCAGGTGCTGCTGTGCAAGTCCTGAGTCAGTGTTCAGATGCTGTGGTGGGCTGCACGACGGCCAATGAACTGAAGCTGAATCCCAATAAGGCAACGGGAGGGGGAATGGAACCTCTAATGCTTACAAAGCCCTATAGGGTTGGAATAAGCTCTTTTTCCTTGCTTTGACTTCCTGCCATTCTTGGAAGCTATCTGTAAATTTACTGGCAATTCATGTTGTTTTTTTACAAGTGATTTTGAAATGCAGGCTGAAATCACCATTTTAATAGACCACAAATCTAAATGTTGGTTTTATAATATACATACATAGTAGTTACAGACTCATGAAATTTCAGTGGCGAAGTGGAAGAAGGTCTCCAGCTATTCGCTTGTCCATTATCCTTCTCCTGCCCTTGCCTCCTCTCATTTTTACTGCTTTCCCTTTCCCCCTCCTCACTACTAACATCTTCCTCCATCATCAATATGAGCTATGTAACAGGTAGTAGATACGGTATGGTGCCCCCCAGTTATTATTGGAGTACAATTCCCATCATCCCTGACCATCGGCCATCCCAGCTGGGACTGATGGGAGATATGGTCCAACAACATCTGGAGGTACCACACTGGCTACCCATGAGCTACAACAAATTATCTTTAAAATTAGAACAGGTATACCAAAAATAACAAGAGTATACAATAGTACAGATTACCCTAGAAAGCATCCATTATCTGGTTTGCTGACCACAACATGGTCATCAGAGTAATTCTGGAGGTATTCTGCAGCCACCACATTGAAACTGGCCATGCTCAGAATGACCCTTCCTTCCTTCCTTCCCTCCCTCCCTACTCTGCTCGCTCTATATCCTCAAGTAAATACTCTTACATAATCCTGCCAATAATGAAGACAGAACAATCCATATATCCTCAGTAATGAAGCGGCAGAACCTGTATTGTGGAACGTTCTGAGCACCACCATCTCCATAGATACAATGAAGGCAACGGAATGGAGTATTATCATATTGTCCTTTGAAAACTGCTGGTGGCACCTGCTGAATCCTAGCCAAAGTGAATGCTTTCACCAAGGGGAATTTAGAAAGAGCAGATATAATAGTGTTACGAAAGTCAGGCGTCACCTCCACTCTCTGCCAAGCTGCAGCAAGATTTCAGGAGGTCCCAGGCACTCACTCAGGGTCTGTGTTCCTTTGGAGAATTGAGACACGGCGGAGACTGTCATAGCTTTAAGAAGTATGGTTCTGAAATATACTCTGAGTCAAAAGTGGATTTCATGCTCTTTATTCAGCTCATAGTGGTGAGGAGGAATGGAAGTCCTCCCAGAATGTCTGCCTTATATACATTATTTACACAATGGGCCCCACGTGATTGGCTAATTCTGGGATTCTCCTGTAGGCCAATCAGGTTGCGGATTCCCTTCCACCTGGAGCTGGATTGGGTGGCTCCTGTGGACCAATCAGACTGCTGCATTCTGAATCCTATTGTTCCA